AGCAAGGCAAAATATTATGCCAACACTATTGAGATTACAGAGCAAGAACCTCTGTCTACTGCATTTTGCATTACTTGCCATCACTTCCAATACAAGCTAAGAAGTGAGGAACTTTGCCCAGTGAAAGACCACCTCTGACAGATACTGCCTGTCACACGAAGAGGATGTGCCGCAGATAAAGTAGTAATGTGCTCAAGGTTTACAGCTATTTTCCTTGGGCAAAGCAGTGCTGTGCTGTTTATCTGGCACATATGATATGTGGGTTGCTCCAAAAGTAATGCCTCCTAGTTACTTCCATGGAAACAACAACAGACACAAAGAATGCAATAACACTACACAATAGAGCTAATTCTCAGCTACAAAATGCTATTTTTCAACACAGTCACCATCACAGCTGTGCATTATCACCAGCAATGAACAACAGCCTGCATACCATGCTCATAAAAATGTGCACCAGTGGAGGAGACCCAGTGCTGCTGTTGCCACTGCTGAAAGGCACCACCCACCACTTCTCTGCGCTACAGTCACTGTTTGGTCTCCACAAATTCTCAGCAAGTGCTGATGAATGTCAATGGGTGCCATTTTTCCTCATGGAAGAATTCAATTCCATCCTTTTGCTTCATCCCTCTTCCATGTCAGATTCCATTTTGTCACACAGCTCCTCTGCCATCCCACCAACATCTTTCTCTGACAAACAGGAAGCATTAATTTTGGAGCAGTCCTCACATAAATTGGTGAATCTGGGTGTTAGGTAGAGGAAGAAGAACATGATTCCTTAAGGAAAAGATTGATAGCACCAATCCAATTTAAAGCAAAACCACTGCAAGGGTTTTTTTCAGAGTTAGTTCTATACTTCTCATTGGGTGCTCTTTCATTTAGTAAGCAAAACATGAAGAGAAATGTATGCACAGGAAGCTGTTTTATTATTGATGCCTTTTGGTGCGTGCTTAAGAACTGCAGCATAAATCATTTGACTTAACAGACTTGTGAAAGGTCAGTCTGACTGTTTTATCCTCAAACACATAGAAATGGTCTCCCAGTCAGACAAGCCCTTGAGTTAAAGTGAACCATTTTGCTGGCGTGGCCTTTCACACTTCCCTGTCTTGATCCCCTCCTGAACTGCAAGGCAGTTCACAGGTGTAAGCAAACTGTCAATGCACCTCTGCATAATCCTTCCTGGTGTCATGACACAATGATCAAAGACGACACATGATCTTAGGCTGGCTCTCAGTAGGGATCCAGTAGCTCACAAGACACAGCTGTTCAGGCAATTATATTCTTCAGCTCTAGTCCAAAGAAATCCAATACACCCGAAGTTACTTCGTATGCTCAGAATCTGAAGATCAGTGAGGACATGACATAAGATAGATCCAGAATGAAGAGGAGAAAGTCAGTACTCAGGATAACTCTCTCTTACCCATTCTTTCTGATGACAAAATTGTAAAAGGAAAGATAATTTCCCAGATGAACTGGGTTCATTACTGACTGGAAGGGCTACTTCACTGACAAGGATACTTGTAAAAAGATATCATGTCCCTGCATTATAAAAACTCTCCAGTTCCAACAGCTCCTTCAGAAACACCCATTACTGGGAAGTTCTTCGGGAGCTCACCATAGTTCAAAGGTATCAGGGTTTCTTTGGCATGCAGCCCAGGCAATGAAGGCCACAGTCCTAACGGGCCACTCTGGTATTTTGCATGGTTATAGCTCAATGCCTCACAAGAAAGGTGTGGGAGCAGAAAGTAGAAAAGGGCTAACGCTGGTACTTCTTCTAAGGTTTTCCAAATTCTTACAGTCATTAAGAATAGGGCAAATTCAATAGCACTGAACTTTGCTGGCAAATACCACCAAATCTTCTGGAACATAGTAAGGTAGACATCCTTATGATAAACATGAAGGTGATCTGTCCATCAAGTGTCCTTTCAGTTTTAGACCAAAGAATTTCTCCCCACATTTGGACATTCAGAGCAAGTGACAATATATGGCTAACAGAAACCATGGACTTTTGAGAAGAATGACACAGACATGCAGCATGCGTTCAAACCGTGATAACGTTGATAACAAACAGCAAACTGTACACATCCTGGGGATCCAGGGCTCCTGAAGCATATTAGATGTCCATCATAAACTGAACAGGGTTAGTGCTGGCTACTGGCAATACCATCATAAAAATTCTAGCTGCACAATATTTAATTAACAACAAAAATCTTTGCTCAAAAGCAAAGACTCAAAATGTAGGATCTTTTTCCTTCTCTCAAAACTGATACACTTGCTAAGTGAAAAGGATCTGCTGAAGTTTTCACATGATGGGTTAACTTAAAAAAAAAGCTCAAAAAATGTAAAATAGATTTCTCAGAGTTATGACAGCTGCATGCAAAACGATCACAAAATTTTCTGTTCTAACCATAAAAAGCCACCTACCAATCTTCGCTACAACACACAGATATTTTTATTCATCAGAAAAAGTTCCTTTCCACAGAAGAACTGTTGTTGGCAGATTGACTGCTAAAGTAAATCATCTATTCTAATCAAGATGCATAGGATACGAGGGAAAAAAAAGTTCCTCATGTGAATTAAATGAGCCATTTTATGCAAGATTTTACCATGAACTACTTCCCAAGATAACCTCTACTTGTTTTTCACTCAGAGACATAAATGTGTGAGCATCTTTCAATTAAAAGAGAGCATAATCAATGCTCAAAACTTCCTAACGGAGACTCAGAGCTGCTTTTCCCTTTGTTTCAATCACCGAATCGCTGAGGTTGGAAAGACCTCCAAGATCATCTGATGCAATATCAGAAATGTGGATACTGTGAGTCCCACACCTTGATCTCTGGCATCTCTACAGAGAGACGAAAAATTAACACGACCTTTCACAGCTATATCTATTCCAGAATTCTCCACTCTTGGCAAGTATAAATAAATTAAAAAAAAAAAAGAAAAAGAAAAAAGAAAAAAAAGGAAATGCATTTCGTTTAAAGTGAGTTCTACAGTAAATATAACAACAAACTAGAACCACTGTTTTATGCAGATATTAACTTGAAGTATACTCTTAATAAGCAGCAGCCAAGGCTCAGTCTATTTATGCATGCATCTCAATTTTGTTTGCAACTCAATTTTGTTTATGCAACTGAGAAGGTTACTGTGCACCTGACAGTATCTGAAGGAAGTCCTGCCACATTCTAGTGGGCTGTAGAGCTCCAACAACTTTACAGACCCTGTAATTTAGTACTGTGGTACTAACGAGGTATCTGCTTTTTGCTAGAGGTACTTCTTACAGATTTTCCACTGTTCTTATATAGTCACAACTCCTATTTAAATGAAAATCTTTCTAGAAATGAGTGGGTATGTGTGTAACATTTTGGGTGTGATGTTCTGGAAAGCAAGAGATAAATGATGCATTTTGACTTTTCACATAAACTATTAATAAATGCAAGAAGGAAAGCATTTCTACTGCATTAAATATGTTCACCAAGCTACTGAAAATTGGTATTTCCCTCGTTTAATACCCCATAGCAAGTGCTGTAGATAACTGTCTTATTTTCTTATTAACAGGAGTCTTAAACCTGCAGCCACTGTCACTAAAGCTTGATTTTGGAAAAGATTACTGCAGTATCTTGATAATAAACTTCCTCTGACTAGAGAGTCACAGAATTGTAGGGGCTGGAAAGGACCTTCAGAGACCATCAAGTCAAGCCTTCCTGCCAAGCAGGTCCCCTCCAGCAGCTGCACAGGTTAAGTGTCCAGATAGGTCTTGAATATCTCCAGAGAAGGAGACACCACAACTGCCCTGGGCAGCCTGTGCCAGTGCTCCATCACCCTCACTGTAAAGACGTTCCTTCACATATTGGTGCAGAACTTCCTATGCTCCCAGAAACACTACAGAAATCAACGTGTGACCTCCACAGCTTCTAAAAATAATTGTTTTTTCCTACCGGTAAAATGTTACTCAATGGAAGCCATACTTAAATATTTATTTGCTGCATATAGCCAAAGAATGGAGAAAGAATGGAAAGTCAATCCCGTGCTTTCAGCATGAAGTTGCAGCTTTTTTATTTATAAATCCTATCAACTGAGTTTATCTTCAAAGAACTTTTTCTCAAGTGCCACATTAAGTAACCAGTGGGCAAATACTGGAAGGTCAAGAGATGCTCCTCTCATTTCTTGCCATGAACATTTATCGAAGACAGCTATAAGTGCTTCCAAAATTGGCTCTCAGTTACCAAGACATCTCAAGGAGTGGAAGCAATATGAAGAAGGTGGGTGAGCTATCATTCATTCTGTTTATCTGTAAAATTCAGGGGCTGCCTGATCACTATCAGAGTATTAAATTTTGTCTAGGCAAGACAAAGATTTATTTACCTGAAAAAACGCTATTATATCAATTTACTGAAGACCAAAAAATACTGTGAATTTGATTATTTGGCAAGGTCTCTAATTCATATTGGAAAGAAATGCTGATCATCTTCCAAAATTAAAACTGAACCTTGCTATTGTTTTCCAAGCTGTTTTTGTCCAACAGCTAGAACATAATTAGCAAGATATACATAGCAATACAAACAACATAGTCTGAATTTTCGTCATTTTGATAGGCACCAGAACCAGCATCAAGCACCTAGATCTTCAGAACACAGCTAGTTTAGTAAGCACATAAAGGAAAAAAAAAAAAAAAAAGGGGGGGGGGGGGGAAAAAACACTCAAGCATGCTGTAATCCCACTTGTAGGGAAAAAAAAAAAAAGCAAGAGCAGCAAACAACTAAAAACAACTGCAGTAAAAAAATGTGAATTATCACTGAAGTAGAAAAAGCATGAGGGTTAAAATGAGGGTTAAAGGTCTGATAAAAAAATTACAAAACTCACTAATTACAAGGCAATTTAATAACTACGTCCTTTGCTTTTCCTTAACCAAATGGAATCAAAATGAAAAAACTGCTTCTGAATAAGTGTGCAAACTGAAACCACGCTACTATTTTTCAGCACAAACACGATACCACACTTACCAACTGGACTGGTACCAGCTCCATTTGGCACTGTGAGGTCAGTTGTCCCCAGCATTCCACCTAAAAAAAAACATTGGAAAAAAAAAAAATTGTGGGTTGTTTTGTTTGTTTGTTTGTTAATAAAAATATAAAGAAGGGTGAAAAAGGGAAAGCACAAAGGTACTGAAATCCTACCAGCATTGCCAGTACTTGGTGGTCTCTGCGGGGCCCCAGGTGATACGTTCCGATGCAGGGTGGTCTGAGGTGGGGAGAGCATGGTCGTGTCTGTTAATGATGAGCTGGCTGCCAGTGATGGGGATACGAGGGAACTCCCTGGGTTACTGTAGGTTAAAGTGTTGGGGTTGGACACTGGAACCGTAACCGACATGGAGAAGTTCTGAGCAGGCAAGCCGGGCTGGAGGAAAGAAAGCAAAGAACACACGAGACAAGATTAGCATTCACTATATTCACAAACACAGCACATTATAAAAAATACACATTACAAGTTTGCCAACAATTATAAGAGTTAATTATGTTAGTTTTGAAACTCTAATTCATTAATCATACAATCTGAAAACATCCATTTGTTGCAGTCTGGTGTTGAATTATAATACGTCAAAAATACAGTTCCAGAAGAATTACTCATAAACTTATCAAAACACTGAGAGGAAATTAACATACAAAAACCTGAAGATATTCATATAGCTCAGAAATACAATAAATTCACCAGTTAATTTGGATTATTACAAAGCCATAACAAGATAAATATGTTGATGAATCAACAAACTGTTACATCTTCAAAATGTAAGCATAAACATGCACATTGTAAAAAGTTATAAGACAAAAAAGAATCAATTAGTAATAACATTTTCTACTAACAATCTTGCCAAAATATTGCTACTAATTTCTAAAACCTTTTTTCAACACGCCAAAAATTCATAAGTTCATAAATTTACAAACTTCAGTAATTTGAATTTAACCAACTTTGATTGTTGTTTTCTGAGACGTGTTCTGCAAAACTCTGCTTGCATAACCACTCCATTTTCTTGTTGTGTAAATATTTTTCCCTTTTTATTTTTCATTTTATTCCAATTCTCACAGCACTATTCAAAAGGCAACTATTATTCCACAGTATATATATGTTTGTTATTCAACAACTATTTGACTCAAAAGTTTAAATGCCTGCCCATCTATGGCGCTCATTTGGTTATGACTAACTTGTTTGGCCTTTGTCTCATTCCTATCCTTTGACAGTGTTGCGTTTCTGAAACAAAAGGGACTATTTTCTTTCACAACTCTCAGAGTAACTGCAACAAATCTGTGACAGGTACAGCTTAAGAGTAAAAATTCAGTAGAATTTGTTGACAGAGGTGGTAGTTTAGAGGTCAGCTGAAGATGACACACGCTCATGACCTAGCAAGTATATTTAAGAGATGTACTTTGTCATATGCAGCTTAAAATTTACACAGAATGACACTTCTAAATGATTATTTGATATCATCTGAAATACAACAGTAATTCTACACTGATGTACAGACCATAATACATTTTATGCAAAAAGCAAAACCTCTTACTAGTGAGAACTAATGACAGCTTCCATGCTGAAGCATTCCTCAGAATAATTATCATTTTTTGGCACAGATGGAAGCAAGAAGTAACGAAGCACAGCAATGTAATGCTAGCAAATCATTCACAGCATCTAAGTAATGACAAGCTGCACTGATACTTGTCTTCAAGGGAAACTACTTCAAGAAACTGTTTATTATCTATTAAAAAAGGATGCTTTTAAATAGCATGCTTTCCATTAACTCAAACTAAACTTGAAATAGCTGAAGTGTGCTTAAAACAATGCTTAGAAGTTAACAGTAAGAACATTTTTTAACATTTTTCCATAGGTTTCTCAATATAGAATCTATGAATGACAGCTTCCCCCACTCCTTACAATGCAGATGGACAACAGCATCTGTCCATCTACGGTATGCATTTGGTTTTGACTGAATTCTTCACTCTGCCTCATTTCTATCTTTCAACAGTAATAAGGGCACTAGAATAAAAGAAGCTACATTCTCATCCAAGATCCAGAAGTACTGAAAACAAAACCACAACAGGTATAATTTAAACTATAAATACAGAACTACGGAGCTAAAAATTAACGTTCCCTTTTTATTTACATTGATGCCCACACAGAAAACTTAAGCTGCTCAGGAAGACCACAAAACATCAATGGAGAGCAAGTTAACTGTATCATACTAATAGATGAGGCCTAAAGATGTTTCAATACAGAAACACAGGTAGCAAAAACATCAAAACAAAGAAGGAATAAAAGACATTGGCTACATTCAAGCATTAAAGAATTTGCAAGAAGAATGGATTCTGGGTGTCAAGACTGCCAGTTTGCTGTTCTTTTCCCAGAGATGGTTCTACTGCTGCGATCAATTAAATCATTTTCACTATTAGCAGTCCTGTGGGGACACACTCTTCATTTACGCCAGGATCTATGCTGATTAACCTAGCCAGTCCATTTATTTTAATTGCTACAACTAGACAATGTTAAAAAATGTAAAGGTCGTGGCAGAGCCCCATATGACTTTTCTCAGAAGATACTCCACCTGTAACACTCAATGCTAACTGCTCCTGTAGGTGGAAACTAAGCATCACACCTCTGAGAAGATCATGCAAAATTTCCGTTACCGTTAACCCCAAAGTTCTTCAGTCCAATAATTCTCATCTAAGAGTACTCCACTGAATCTTTTTACCTTGCACTCATAAATTAAAGAGCACATACGAAACTCATGAGAACATGGACAATCTGCCCTGTAAACACATGGGGCTCATTTTTTAATTATATAATATTAAAATGGAAACGATGCTCTGATCACACTATGGGATTGGTGACAATATCTTCCTAAAGCAATTCAGTGACTTACAGCAAGTGATAAATATTTAAGTTAGATGCTCATTACAAAATTTTCAAAAGCTCTTCTGGTGTCCATGTTCTCTGGCTGAACGTGCCTTCAACAAGCTATCAATCTTTCTGAGGATCCCACTGTCATTTTGAGACATCTGAACGCCTTTCTAAATCTTGCCTTCAGGAAAATAAAGTCAATTGAGTCAATTGATTTGGTAATAGAAAGGGCCAACTCTAATTGTAACATATTGTAAAATCTTTATCAGATAGAAGGACTATAAGATTTTTATATTCCATAATGAAATCTGTCTTTTTAGAATATTTTAGGCAAGGAAGCTAAGGTCCTGAAATTTAGAAACGTTACTTCACATCCACACAGTTTAAAAAATCTGTGTGCATAATTGAGAAGCTGGAGACACAATTTCTTTCTTTCCTACTCTTTACGAAAAAAATGTAATTATCAAGAGCGAGTATCGATACCTTATTTTACCTCATGAAAATACACATCTCCCTTTCCAAACCAATACAGCCTCTTGTCTTTACAGCGGTAAGCAACACCTGTGAAAACTCTCATGCATGTAATAGAAGCACAAACCATACTTTAGTACTCACTGCGATTTTATGATTCCGCATCATATTATCAAACTCTTCATTTATTTTTTTATATTTTTCTTCTGTATGTGGCGTGAGCACATATGAAGTGTCAGGGTCCGGGCTGTCGCACCCTCTGTGTTCCTTCTTGTTCAGAGCCTAAATAATGAAGTTAATAAAAAGGATCAACAAATAAAAAGTAGAGATAAAATAAAAGTACTTACAGGGCCTCGCTTGAAAATAAAATCACTATCTTCATTTAGTTTGCTGAATCTGTCCTCCGATAGTGGACTGTGCTCAAAGTAATCGTCAGCATCAGGGCTCTCACAACCATTAAGGCCTTTCTTTCTTAAGGTCTGAAATACAATTGGAAAATTCACATACAGATCATACTAACTTGCCAAGATCTTTTGTATACTACCGAATCATTCAGAGCCACTGAAACTACAAGAAATTTTCACAGACAAAAATCAATAGACAAGCTAAGTCTTTCAAAATAGTGGCATAGTACACCAACAGAAAAGGTTCAGTCAGAGGCATAGACACCCAAGGGGCCATCTCACGGGCAGTTTGAACCTAAAATCATTCCATCTCTCCAGTGTTCTACACCAAACTGGTTTCAGACACCAGCTGATAGGGGACAGTTGCCTGACAGACCTTCAACAGTCAGCCTATGGCAAAGGAGTTAATGTCCTCACCGGTAATTAAAAAACATCTTAGTCTTTATTGGATCTTTAATAAATTGATTTCAGCATCCCTTATATTTTTAAAAGCATATGGCTTGAAGTCGAGCGATACGACGACTAACAGTTCTCATCTGAATGTAGCTACTGCATTTCATGAATATATGTAACACTTGGTCTCACTGGCTTACAAAGGCAGGATTTTCCTGCACTGCAGTCATCCTGCATGGTAACAAGAAGTGCAAAAAGTATAAAAAGAAATGACATAATCCCTCTGTAACATGACTTAGTTTGCTAAATATAAGCTTTTTCAGACTCCTTTACTCTAACTTGATGTGACCGCTTTGTGGGGTACTTCCTGTTTGCTGGTGGAACTCTTGCATCAACATCCCCCAGAAACAGAGCATGTCTACAATGCAGGCACTACGAATAAGCTGCTGAGGAAGGATGTGAACCTGCAGCTCTTGCGAGCAAACAATTCAAAGATCCATTTGATACGTTTGCAGCCCTTTTTTTTCTCTTTTTCATCTACTTCACAATCAAAATTCTCATTACAAGTTCTCATTTCTAACAAACTACGATTTAAAATGCTACCCACAGAAAAATCAGAAATGTTTTAAAGATGGGTTACAAGAGGAAAGCAATACACATTTTTCAACAGGTCTACATGAGCCAACAGTGGGACCATAGGGGCAGGGAGGTGGTGCTTTCTTTTGCTGACAAGGCATGCAAGTTTTATTAACTTTACACCAAAAGACCCTAAAAAAACTGAAATCCACATGTCGACATTCTCAGCAACAGAAAGAAATTCACTTTCGGGTAGAAGCTACGCTTCCATAGCGTACTGAACATTACGTGTTTAAAAAAAGTTAGTTTAAGGCATTCATTTTTTATTCAAGCACTATCTAGCACAATAAAAATTACACAAAACTCTCTTACTATTTATACATGTGCAAAACACTCCCTACTTCTACTTCAGCTTCTAAGCAGCACTAAAATCCAATTGCGTTCTCTGAAATTCTTTAATATCACAGGTCACCACAAGCTATAATTCCCCTCTCGGGTTTCTCGGCCGGCTCCCGGTATCCCACGCCGTCCCTGGAACTCCCACAAAAATGCCACCACTGAAGCAGCACATGGGGAACAGGTGGAGCTCCCTCCAGCCCTGCTTGCGCCCTGATCCCACCCCGCCAGCCAATCCGCTGGGCACGGATATGGATGTGGCCATACAAGGGCCGGCTGCTCAAGGTCGGAGCCCGCTATCCCTCCCAGTCCTTCCTGACAAGTCAGGCTGCCAGTTCTCTACACTTTGATATCAGTAGGGAAAATGTTGACACTGTGTAATCTGCATTGTGCTTAACCCCTGCAACCCACGGAATGCTTGAAATAGAACCCAAATAGGTACTTAACAGGGTGCTCAGCACAGTGTGCAAGACATTTAGAAGCTGTGTTTAGGTATTATATAGAAAGAATTTGCAAGAAATGCACAGCAGACAGTGCTGAACTTCTGTCTAGTTCCTAAGAGGTTAGTGCAACTTTAAGTATTGCAGCATGGGACTTTCATTAATGCCCCTTTTTATAAAACAACTATGTGAAAATGTGAGTGTAACGCTGGGACTCATCCTCAGGGATGGGCCTGATGATATGCTCACAGCTCCAATACAAAGGAACGGGCTCAGAAAATACAGAAAGGCATCCTTCCTCTGGGCCAGCAGCTATTTTTATTTTCGATAACAATGGGGTTAACTCCGTTTGACTCATGAGGAAGGAAAATGCTCAGTATCTCCCAGTTAAGATTCTGGAAACCTTCACTCCAGATGGGGTTCCTGTCATTGTGGAAGGATTTAAGGCACGGTGTGCTGTTACAGATAATATGTCTGGGTCTGATATCCCGAGCTCTGTCTCTTTATTGCTGAAACACGCACTGTCACTTTGAGGACCTAACCATAAAAAGACTGCTACTTTATCACTGCGCCATAACAGAACGGTGAAACCTTCCTGCTTCGCGGCTGTACTAACAAGAGGAATGCTGTCAGCTGTTCACAGAGTCAGGCGAAGCCTACGCAGCACAGCGCGGCGCGATAAGGGGCCCTGCCCACGGCGCACAGGGACGGCTGCTGGGAACAGGGCCATGGGACAGAGCTGAATTCCACTCCGAGGGCTAACCTCACCCTTCGTGGACCTTACAGCTATAGCTACATTCTGTCGTTTCTCCGATGACTGCAAATAACTCGGCATACCTTTGTCCTTCCAGCACTTGAAGGAGCTTTGTTTATCGATGCTTTGTTAAGCTACGGGACACAAGGGGGAATGGCTTTAAACTAAAAGAAGGGAGATTTAGGTTAGAGGTCAGGTGGAAATTCATTACTCAGAAGGTGGTGAGGCGCTGGCACTGCTGCCCAGATAGCTGTGCGTGCTCCATCCCTGGAGGTACCCAAGGCTGGGCTGGATGGGGCTCTGAGCAGCCCGAGCTGATGGGGGCAGCCAGCTCATGATGGGGATGGCTGGGTGATCCTTACAGTCCCTTCCAACCCAACCATTCTATGATTCTGCGTCATTTCCGAGACAAATAAAGATCCAAATTTCACAAACTCTGAAGATGAAAGAAATTCCTCTAACAGTTTAATTTTTCTGCCATGATACACAAACATTTTTGTAGACAAAAAAAAAAAAAAAAAAGAGAGTTCTTGCAGTTGAGGCTAATACAGAACAAACTTTCTTACTAGAGGGAAAAAAGAACACTGACTTCCAAGTTTTGCTATTCAATGCTCACTCCAATTGCCTTCTTGTGTTAAGTCTTATTTTCCAGATGATTTAAGGCAATGTGTAGCTTTTGGAGTTAATCTGTATTACTTTCCACTTCCTCTAAGACTTATCCAAAACTACTGGCAATTGTTCCAGCATGTTTGCCAATGTGCTGCACTGTGTCCTCAGTGACTGACACTCTGCAGCTTTGATGTTAGACCCGATGAGCTAACTGAGGAAAGAATTGATTTTTCTCAGAAAAATCACTAAAGTAAGTGCTGAGAGGAACCACAGCAGGTATGAAATCCTTTTAAAAAAGAACCAAGCGACGTCGCTGCTACATGTGAAGTCACTACACAAACGCTCCTGGCAGCTGTGGTAACTCGCATACTGCAGAACGGCCCAGAAACTTTAGACTCTTTTTGTGGCACTGCGTAAGACTGAGATAAACAAAATTATTATTTTATATTAATACATGTTTTGGTTTGTTTATTGAACGGCAGAGCTTGGTAAATGCTGTATGAGAAAGGCTGGGCTAGTTACGGAGGACTGAAGTACTACTCAAGCACACAGCACACTGTTCTCCTGACCTTCCCTACACATTGCAGTCATTTTAATTGCACTGCATTTTGCCTGTGCAAGAAGCATTTAAAGAACAGGAGACCTTCTCACAAAACAAGTGACAAACAATTAGTTTCTCTCTGCAATTCGACACATTCTACTTTAATTGCTAGTGCAAAGGGAACAGAAATACGATAGCTATGTATGGTGTGACCCATGAGGAAGCAAGGATGATATTAAACCAGCACAGTGTAACTATCTTCTGTCACACAAACTTACACTGGCTCAAAATACTGGTCATCAGCAATTCTGGAAAGCAGAAACAGAACTGCCAGGTACAGATTACTGCTACCCGAGGCAGAGTTAAATGACAACATCCAACCGTCCTCCTCTGCAGGAAAGATAACAGGCTTTGTGTCCAACTCTGGAAGGATGTGTTGCTAATGGTTAAAAAGCACAAGCAGCTTGTTTTGTGCTCTCACATGGTTAAAAGGGCAAGAATGCTGATAGCAGTCATCTGGGCTCCTCACCAGCTCCCTTGGCACAACTGTAGAGGACTTGCTCGTATTCACTGTAACCTCAGGAAATAATATTTTTTTGCCTTAAAAGGCAAAAGTAGGAGGACATGAAATGTAAAGTGCATTATGAAGCAGGAATGTTAGCTCATTCAAAGTCCTCGCTGTTTGGTTCTCATAGCCTACTGATGTTACACAAGTTGGGAAAAGGTTGTTGCTACCAGCACTGCTCCGAATCAAGACAAAAGCTCGATTTCTGCAATTTCTACTGGTGCTGGGTTGGCTTTTTTTTTGTTTCATCTGAAAGCATGAGAAAAAACATTTCCAAAATTTTACTAAGACTGAAATGAAAAAGATTTTATTTCCTTTAGAAAAGGCAACCCTTCCAGATAAAAACAGTGGCTAGCTCTGTTTCTGCTGTTCCAGACTGGGCTTGGAAAAGATGTGAGGCAGTACAAAGTTGGAATAAACACTTAAAAAAAAAAATCCAAGTGTAAGTATTCCTTAGGCATGAAGTAATGGAAGAGACACCACTAGCACTTCTAAATATTACTGCTGCCTTAGTAAGCATGTACACCATGGTTATCAAAGGATAACCAACTGAACAGTGTCCTGATACTCCAGAGAGCTGCCATGCAATAGCAGAGGGAGAGAA